GGCGCCCAGGGCGTGGGTCCCCTGCCCGGCCCCTCGGCAGCTGAGCTCGGACAGTCCTGCCAGAGGGGACTAGACTCCCTGTGAGCCCCTGGGGACCCACAGCGGGAGCCTGTCTGTCCACAGCCGGCCTCGGGGGCTCCCCCTCACCACCCCCCACCCCCCGTGTCCCAGCTACTGTGCTCTCAGCCCCCGCCCTGGGTCCAGGAACACCTGAATGAAGCAATGGCCAAGAGCTCTCCAGCCACGGGGAGGACGGTAGCCTGGTGGAGCCCAGCGCTCAGCACAGGGGTCTCAGCTCCTCAGGGAAGCGTGAAGGCACTGTGGCCCCTCTGTGAGCGCCCCAAGACCCCGTGGGGCAAGTGTGTGGACCACCAGCTGGCCAGAGCGCTCCACCCCTGTGCCCCTCACCCTGAGAAGCTGCCTCTGGTGGCGAACGCAGGCCCTGCGCGGAGCACCCCCACCCACCGAGCCACCGAGCCGCCCAGCCGCCCAGCTTCGTGCTGTGGCCAGTGACAGGGCGCGGTGCGCCTCCACCCCACAGCTAAGCGAGGGCGGACACGTCTGTCTCCTTAACCACGTCCCTTCACGGTGAAGCAGGCATGGCCGCTGCCCGTGAATGAAGCATCGGGCAGGGGACGCCGCGCCCTCCTGCTCTGCGCCCTTCACCCTTTGCCCTTGGGCAGGCCTCCACCCCTCGGGCTCTGCCAGGACTGCTCGTGAAGCGTCAGCCTCCCACGGAGCTCTGGGGCTCCCAGAGAGGGCGGCGGTGGCCAGGAGGGGCTCACCCCAGCCTCCTGCGGGGCCGTGCGCACAGCGCCGGAGCTCAGCCTGCTGCCAGGCTCGTGGGGCTCGTCCCTGCTCCAGCGGCAGCCAGCGGGCACCTGGACTGAGGTCCAGGAGTTAAGTGGCCACACCGGAGAGAGAAGAAGCCACCTTCGACGGGCCCCTTGGGCATGGCCCAGAGGCGTTCACCCCCCAAGTCCATGTCCTTGGTTAGAAGCATCAAAGTGCCTCGAGGATCTCAATTTGGCAACATCAAAACATTGCTGGAGACCAGATAACAGGACCTGACAGCCCACGCACACACAGAGGCAGGCGCACACGCTCACGCCTTGTGAAGGCCATGTGCTTTCTGGACTTGCAGGGTAATACCGAAAGGTTAAAGGTCAAGATGCCAGAACAACACTCGGCATATTTTCACTCAGTTTCCTGCAGGACAGGCGCTGTGTCCTTGTAGTGGGGGGCAATAACTCCTGCTCCCGGCAGCGGTGGGAGGCTTCAGACAGGGTGGACCCCACAAGGCTCAGGCCCCACCATCTCCCCAAGCCCCGGCGGGAAGGTCACACTCACCGAGGAAAGGCCAGGTCTTGACTTGGGGTCCGCCTTGCTCCTCATGAACAGGCTCCAGAGCCCTGCCTGCTCCATGGGGGGTGTTGAGGCGCTGGGGCCTTGGGGATCCCAGCAGGGGGCAGTGCTGGGCTGCCACCGTTCACAGGCTTCTCTGAGCCAGGCAGGGAGGGCAGGATCATGGCACCGAAATGTGAGTCGCTAAGTGCTGTAGCTGAGTCCCCTGGGAGAGTTCAGAAGCAGGACTGAGCCTCATGCCTGCAGAATATGGCTCCGTGCAGAGGCAGGCATGCGCGCCTCGCTGGGAATCCTTGCTGCAGCTCTCAGGGGCTGATGCTCTGTTTCCACTTCAGCAGGTGAAGCGCTGAGACCCCAGAAAAGTCCCTCTTCTTCTCACGGTCAGTCCAGGTAGGTAGCTATTGCTTGGGTAGAGTGAATAAAGATGGCAGAATCCTCAGGAATTGTGGTCCACATCCAGTGGACTGAGAAACTGTTCTTTCTCTGTGTTGGAGCGCACACACGCACACACACACACATAACACACGTGATCCCAGTGAGCCCGGTTCCCTTAGAAAGAGATGGGAGACAGACAGACAGACAGACAGCCAGTATATGATGGATGGATGGGTGGGAGGATGGATGGACAGACAGCAGAAATCTGCGCAACAAAGCCCAGAATGTTCCTGATGCTCCACAGAGAGCACATGTCTTTGAGGAGGATCTGGAAGATTCTGGATTTCTGCCCGTGGAGGGCCTCGGAGCTGCTGTTCCAGGAGGAGGAAACTGAACAAATGCTTAGAGGCGGCCTGGAGCGTATCTGCGGTTCTGGAGAGGAGATGGGTCCCCTGGCCGGCAGAAGGTGATGGCCGAACCGGAGGCCAGCCCCTTTCAGGTGGCGCTGTCTCACCCCACCAGAGTGCCCAGCCCTCCTGGGATAGGGCCTCGCCCGGTGCCCCCCGAGCCTCCACGAGCCTCCATTTTCAGAGCCCTTCACACCGTCACTTGTCAGCCTGGAGCCCAGCGAGTGCCGGGACGGCCAGGTAAGGAAATAAGTACTGGGGTGATGCTCTTTCCTGGCGCCCGGGAACAGGCCCTGCGGCTGGCAGTGCTCCCTGCTGGGCGCCAGTGCCCCCTCCCCCAGAGCGACAGTCCCTCCTGAGCGGGCTGCGTGTGGGGACCCTCCAGCCCGGGCCTCTAGCTGCGCCGGCAGAATCAAGGGCCGCCGTCCAGTAGGCTGAGCTCACTTGTCACGGAGGAGGGAGGCCCTGCCCGCCGGGGCCCCCGGACAGGGCCTGTGCCACTGGTCCGGCACCGAGGGAAGCGTGTTCGGCAGGGGGCAGGAAGCCAGCTGCCTGGCTGTCTCAGCCGGTGATCTGGGAGAGGCTGGCACATCGCTGCAGGGCACAGTGCCGCCTGACTGCCCCGGCGGCTCTGGGAGGGAGGCTGCAGCTACTCCCAGCACACAGAGAGACCGCGCCCAAGAGGGCTGCCCAGCAGCGGGCCCGGGCGTCAGCACATGGACACAGGCCAGTCTGACCTGTGGCGTGTGAATGGCTGTGACTGTCCTGACGCCCCTGTTTGGTCGCCCCGTCTCTCCTAATGATGCCAGCCAAGCCTCCCTCCCGCTCGGCCCACTCGGCCTCCCCCTGGCTGGATGGCACAGGAAGGGAGTGTGTGGTCCGTGTGAAACTGTTGGAGCCGGCCTCTGGGCAGGCCTGCTGCTGAGCGGTCACTTCATCTCCCAACTCGCCATAACGAGATGAGCTCACCGAGCCCCATGGGTGGGGTGATGGGGTTCACAGTAGGCAGCGTGTTGAGGGGCTCCTCACAGGTACCCCATGGCAGAGCTGAGAGTGGGATGTCCATCCACCCTCAATTCTGAACGCCAGCCCTACGCTTGTGCCCACAGCTGGGCAAACGGGGGGACTGCTGCCTGTGGTGGTGGCCCCGCCTGCAGCTCCGGGTCAGCGTGGGACGATCTTCCTGAGGGGTAGGCTGTGAGCCACTGAGCCGGTCCGCGAACAGGGCTTCTCTGATTCCGGACTGGCTTCTGAGAATGCCTGGCCTCATTCATTTCCTGTCTCCCCGCTGGACTCGAGCAGCAAAGCTTGTCCTGTGCTCCGGGACCAGAGTCTCCAGGCACAGCGGAGCTTGTCCCGTGCTCCGGGACCAGAGTCTCCAGGCACGGCGGAGCTTGTCCCGTGCTCCCGGACGAGAGTCTCCAGGCACGGCGGAGCTTGTCCCGTGCTCCCGGACGAGAGTCTCCAGGCACGGCGGAGCTTGTCCTGTGCTGCCGGGATGAGAGTCTCCAGGCACAGCTCCTCCCACCCCTTTGCCCCAGTCCTATTCCTACACACTGTGGCTGCCTGTATGTTTATCAGGGGCAGCTTGGAAGCAGCCAGACCATGACAGCCCT